ATACATCACATGACCAGATTCTTGAAATAAACTTCTATCCCCAATTCCTCTAGAACCTCCTTTACAAAAGCTCATTTTAATCGATCATAGGCTTTTCTAGATCAGTCTTTATAGCGAAAAACCCCTTCTTCCCCCTTAGACTTCTCATGATATGAAGAGTTTCTTGAGTTATCACAATATTGTCCTATGTATGTCTCCTTGGCAGAAAACTCACTTGATTAGGAGCAACCACATTCCTCACAACATCATTCATCCTCTTCACTACAATTTTAGGGATGCATTTATAAGCCACATTACACGGTGCAATAGGTCTCATTTGCTTCAAACTTTCAGGTCTCTCAATATTTGGTACTAACACCTATAAGGTCTCATTAATTTCTTGCATATCCTTCCCACCCTTCCAAAGCTTCTGCATATGCCTCCATACCTCCTCACCAACTATTTCCCATTCCTTTTGAAAAAAGAAAAAATAGTTGAATCACCATCCATGCCTGGGCCCATAAAAACCTCTATACTGAAAACTGACTCTCTCACTTCATCCTTCATAACAGCGGATCTCATTGTACTCAAATTCTCCTCAGCGAGTGCTGGAAAAGTGCTCATGGTAGGAACCAACCTTGCCATTCTTCTCCTCACATTCTCCTCTTTAGAAAGGATTTTATAAAACTCCATTGCCCATTAAAATATACATTTAGTCCTTTAAATTTATATCGAAGTTTCAGCTTAGTTTTTCAAGAAAAAGTACATTTTTAGTTCCTCAAGTTTAAAAATATATTTCTTTTAGACTTAACATCACTAATCTTACTAATGGAAAATGTTAATTCAATTATTTTAGAATAATGACTCAATATTTAAATGTTGAGATACTAATTTTCAATTCAAGTATATAAAATAAAAATATTTAAAATAAAACATTACTTTTATCAACAATTTATACACAATTTAATAATTATGAGATAAACAATTTTCTTTTCTTACTTTACTCATTGAAAAAATGATCTAATTGGTCTTAAACATTTATATTCAAACATTTCAAAAATTATAATTATTTGGGAGATTAGCATTATTATAAACTTTTACACTAGATCTACCATCATAATTTAACAAGATTATCATAAAAAATTTAAAGTTACAATTTAAAATATTTTAAAATTATTTATTTTATGAAAAATTAAGAGAAAATCTTATAAAACTATGTTAGAAAATTTCGCAGTAGGAAGTAATTATGCTTGACGGCACCTTTAATTATGTTTGATTTTAAATACGTTTTAATTTACATATTTTAATTAAAAAAATTAACATGTCAACATTATCATTTTTTTGGCTACATATAGGTATCCTCCTATTAGAAATTAATCTTATTTAAGGCATTGAAATAACTAAAATAAGGAAAAAAAAATCTCTTGATTAACTTTGGATCAGCTGCACATCACCTCCCTATCTTTTAAAAGTTTAAATTAAAGATCTTGATGTTTCAAGTTTTGACTATCAACTCGCCTATCATTAAAGTTGCCGCTAAGCTTAGCGGGTTTTTAGATGTCATACTTTTTATATTTTATATATCATTTCATTTAAAAAAAATAATATTTGGCATTTGATATGTAATTTTAAGATTTTTAAATTTGAAAAAGACATCTTACCAAAAAAAATTGAAAAAGACATGGTTAAATAATATTTTAAATTTTTTTATATTTTAAAGTATTTTATTTTAAGCATAAGAAATATATAAAATTACATGCCAAGTATTATGTGTTAAACGAAATGGTATATAATAAAAAAAAATATGACATCATGAAAATCATAACTTTAACGGTAATTTTAACCATAGAAGAATTGATGGTCTACCCACGAAACGTCAAAATCTTTACTTTAAACTTTTAAAGGTTAGAGAGGTAATATTTAGCTAATCTAAAATTTGAGTTTTATGTATTTTATCTTTTGAAATTGCTTAATCAGCATTTTTCATTAGAGATGTTAACTATTTTAAATTTAAAGGACTACAAATATATTTTTTTAAATTTAAAGGATTAAAAGAGAGTTTATTTTGAATTTGTGATAAATTACATTTTGCATGGTTTATTATGATTACACAAGAAGGTCGTGGTTGAGAACGAAGCCAAACTAAACACTAAGATTAAGGTTCAATATCATAAATTAGAAATACTATTGCTTAACTACTAACAAACTATTAATTGAAGTGGTATGCAACTTCACCTCCTAAGACGAAGAACACAAGTTTAAATCTCAAGAAATATACTTGTTGGAAGAGACAAAAAAACGTTTTGTGCTTTAAGTCTTGAAAGGAAAAATCCTTGATTAAATTACAAAAAACTACTATTGTTTATCTAAGAATTAAGAAAGCTATAAACTGAAGAATGAAAAACGCAAGACTAATGAGTTTTAGAAGGAGAAATGTGTGACGGGAAGATAAGCTTGATCAACACATGAAAAGTACTTTAGGCCAAAATTATTTTCCAGCAAATAACATCCCACTTATCGAAATTAAAAAAAAAATACTAAAAGAATGAATTAAAATATATTTTACCTTGAGTAACAAAAACATGACAAATTTCGACTTCTCAAATACACAATCATATATATACAAGAGACTATATAAATTGTCATTAAACGAATAAAAGCAAACACGTAATTAAATAGTTTGTTCAACCGTATGAGTTAAAAATCAATAAATTTCAAATCTCATTTTTTATAAGACTTCCTTAAAATGGATAACAAGCGTGAACAAACAGTTCACGAGAATAATTAACCAATGAAGCATGACTCAAAGCTAAACACAAAAGGTAAGTAACCAAGCAAGCACGACTAGAAGCTATGAAACAAGCGTAGGCAAAATTACACAAGAGCGTTATGGTAATTTCATACTAATAATACAAAATAAAAGGTTAAATTATACTTTTAGTTTTTAAATTTTATACAAGGTTTCATTTTAATCCCTTAACTTTAAAAAGTAAATTTTTAGTCTTATAACCCTAAAATTGTTAACAAAAAATGATGATATTGAACTCTTAAATGCTAATAAAATATTACTAAATCTTTACATATCAAGTTTAATATTCAAAACAATCATAATTGTTGCAAACAAAAAACATCATTTAAGACTAATAATTTTAGGATTAAAGGACTAAAAGTATATTTTTTAAAGTTAAAAGATCAAACTGAACTTTATATAAAGTTAAAAGACCAAATGTATATTTTAGCCCATAATAAAATTATTCTCTTAACATGATTGGGATATTTACTTTTGTTAGAAATTTACGAAAAATGATTAAAATATTAATCGAGAATTAATTAATTATCTTATTATCTTCAAGGCCATTACAAAAAACCGTTATAAAATGCTGTTTTTGTTTTTTGGGGTAGCGTGGGGTCAAATAGTGCCGTGCTTGGCTGCAAATTAAAAAAAGTCTCCATGCCCGGGAGGACAGGTCCGACTGGTCGCAAACGGGAAAGGCAAGGCGCCACGTTCCTACCATGTCATGGGCTCACCCAATATGGTGTGGGATACCGGAGGAGTTAGTGATACCATCCTGTTCAAAAAAAACAAGTCTCCATGCCTAGTCTGAGATTGAGCGAACCTAAGTCAAAACTGTTTTTTGCTATGGGAGAACGTTGTTAAGCATATGGATAGAAAACTGCAGTCGCATCTGGCACGTCATTAATAATTTTTCTGACGCATGGCCACCTTGCATCTGAACCCGCACCACTCCTAATAGATTGCCAGTAAAAAGAATTCCTTTTAAAAACAAATCATCTCCGAAGAATAAGTCAGAAAATTGTTTTTTTTTTGGCCACAAAGAATAAGTCAGACAAACTGACTTGATCTACGCGCTTAATTAAATTAGAAGTGTTACGCAACACTAATGATAAATTATATATAAGTCACTGTTTTGCTTTATTGAAAATTTGTGGGTAGATAAATAATAAAATGAAAAATAATGGAAGACTGATATTATAACATTATCTATAGCATCAAATCTAAATATACATGTTGATCAATAATGGATGGAGGCTATATATAATGTTTCTTGGAATTTTCATATTTTGGTCTCACACAATTACTGAATAACAATCCGTTGGTGATGGCAAAAAAAAAAAAAAAACAATCTGTTAGTCACGTGGATGGGTTTAATAAATGGGAAAATTTATAGAAAAATGATAGTTGAATTTCAAAAGCCCAAAAATCATCTGAATTTTATAAATTCTAAATTAGTCATAATGAATAAATCAGATTTTAAAATGCAGAACTTACATTGTTGTCCTTTATTAATCAAAGGGATATGTTAATGTTATAATGAAAAAAACAGAGAGAAAACACGCATACAGAATTTTCAGTTTTTGATATTAAGTTTGACCATTAAACTTTTTAACTACAAAAGAGATTGAACTTTCTTTTGTTTTTACCAAATTTTTTTAATACCAGGAGATACTGGACATTCTCAGGTCACTTCAATTATAAAATATGTGGGGGCAGGGGAATTCCTCACTGCACTGCAGAGGTATACTGTACATTCTTGTTTCGAAGACTAGGATCGATGAATGACAAGGCTGTACTAATTAAAAATCACTAATAGCAGAGAAAATTTGGTTTAGCTATCTTAGAAGTCTTTGGTGATCAAGGCCCCAAGCGATTCGAAAATTTTGCAGGGTTGTTTCTTCCCCAGTGCAGTCGCAGTTAAAGCAAAACTAAATTGTTCAAAACGCTATGGATTATATGATGTCATGATATTGCTGGCATTGCTTGCAGAGTAGGATAACCAAAGTAGAACAGGCTACGGGTTATCCTTCGCAGCATTCCAAATCCAATTTCTTCCTCCACTTTCGATTTTCTTCATGTTCTTCATGGGTTCCAGTAGAAAAGTTTCTTATTAATTTCTTTTCTTATATATTTGTTGTCATTTACTCTTCTGGTCTGTGCCTTGGACACCATCGTTCCATCTGTATTGATCCACGAACCTGAAACATTGAGCTCAAATAATAGCATGTTCACACTGGGATTCTTCAGTACGAAGAATTCAACAAATCGCTATGTGGGAATTTGGTTAATGTCTGAATCCAATGTTGTTTGGGTAGCGAATAGAAACAACCCACTAAGGGATTCTTCAGGGATTCTCACAACATCGTGGAGTAATGGCAATCTTCTTGTTTTGAATGGGCAAGAACAGGGTATATGGTCAACGAATGTCTCAAATATTGCATCAAATTCCAGTGCTCAACTGTTGGATTCTGGCAACCTTGTACTCGTTGATGGCGCTACTGGAGCAACGCTGTGGCAGAGTTTCCAACATCCTTGTGATACATTCTTACAAGGCATGAAACTCAGCACTAATCAACAAAAAGGTAAGAAAGTGACACTCACATCATGGGAAAGTACATCTGATCCGTCCTCAGGTGAATTTTCTCTTGAACTTGAACCCCGTAATGTTACAGAATTATTGGTGTGGAAAAAAAAATCGTCCTTATTTTCGGAGTGGTCCGTGGAATGGTGTAGACTTTCTTGGAACACCTGGGAAATCATCTACTTTTGGAAACGAGCTTGAAGTGAAAGAAGAGGAAGGAAGTGTTGAAGTATCTTTTCATTACACGGATAAGTCTTTGTTGATGATTTTCACAACAGATTCTCAAGGTAGATTAGAACAAAGGCTTTGGAGTTTCCAGAGAAATATATGGGAAGTTGGGTGGACAATTGTGGATTCTGAGTGTGATGTTTATCGCAAATGTGGCCCATCTGGGATCTACGATAAGCAGAGCTCACCAATCTGCAGCTGCTTGAGAGGGTTTGAACCAAAGAACAAAGAAGAATTGGGGAGGCAGAATTGGACCAGTGGGTGTGTGAGGAGAGAAGCACTTCAGTGTGAGAGAGATAATAATGGTTCTCAAGGTAGCCTAGTAGACGGGTTTTTAAAGTTGGAAAGTGTAAAAGTACCAGCTCATGCAGAAATGTTACCTGATTATAACTTCTCAAATGCTATAGATTGTCAAACTCCGTGCTCGAAGAATTGCTCTTGCAAAGCTTATGCATACGAAACAGGCCTTGGCTGTATGTTTGGAACGTAGATTTAGTTGACATAATAAGCAACTCACCTGGAGGGGTGGATCTTTACTGACGTCTTGCTTCCTCAGAACTAGGTACCCTGTTTAATTATAAAAAACTCACTGAAACGCCTAGGAATAGACCAGTTTTGCTTAATTTACATTGGACTTGGTGCAGAACTTGTATGCCTTTTCAATATATATATGACATATGGGGTGCTGTTCTTCTAAGGAGTTAACTATTGTGATCATTGAATGCAAACAACGGCACGTTTTATATATTTATGGACGAATTTGAATTATATATATGCACTTGAATGCCTTATTGGCTTTTTTTGTTCTCTATTTCTTTAACCTCTTTTGATTGCAATATGTGCAGTATAGAGTTGTCAGAAAAAGAAGTCTGAACGAATTTTCTTCTTATCTTTCATGCAGAACCCACAGGCACGAGTGAAAGGAAGATGACAACACCAATTCTAATATCTGTTCTGACAGGAACAGTTCTCATTACAGTCTTTGGATTTTTCTTGTGCCAAAAATGGTCAAAGCAGAAAGGTTATACTCTGTGATTTACTCTAAGAATTCATTCAAGGCATCAATTATTTGAGACATAAGGTGAATAAATCCTTGTTTTGGGTGACTGAAGGACATTTCTCCCTCTCTTTTTACTCTCTCCCCGTCTAAAAACACATACTATATAAGAAAAATGTAGTTAATTATTTATACTTTTTTTTAAAGAAGCTAATACTAGACACACTTTCTTGTGCTTTTGAAAGTATGAACGATATACTACATCTGACTTGTAAACTGTAGCTTGTTATAATTTTGATGACATATTAATGAAACGGTTGGAAATGTGCAAACCAGAAGAAGGATTACAGAACTAAAGCAAGTGAAAATTCAAGAGATATCACTGTTTGATTTTAGAATGTTGGCAACTGCAACAAACAACTTTGACATAGCAAACAAACTTGGGCAGGGTGGTTTTGGTCCAGTATATAAGGTGATATTCATTGTTTTTTTTCTTTTCCTGTTCATCATTTTCCAATTCATAAGAAATTAATTAGACTAAGGCTTTTATCATTTTTATAAGAGGTTTTCTGTCAATTTATTTCAGGGGAAATTTAAAGATGGACAAGATATTGCAGTAAAAAGACTATCAAGATCATCTGGACAGGGTGTTGAAGAATTTATAAATGAAGTCGAGTTGATTTCTAAGCTTCAACACTGAAACCTTGTTAAACTTCTTGATTGTTGCATTGAAGGAGAAGAGATACTGGTTTATGAATATCTACCAAACAAAAGTTTAGATGCATACATCTTTGGTTAGTTCCCATCTTTTGTGCATGCATGCCTTGCAAAAGAAACAGGGGACAGGAAGAAAACATGATTGGGCGTCCAAGAATATTATTTAAAGAAATACAAGTTTTGCACTTCAATTCTTATTTTACCTTATACGTGTTACCTCTTCTTTGATATTTGTAGCCACATAAAGTTGCTTTCACATCTATTTATGTGTGATTTCAATAGTTGTTAAGGTAGAGATAACCAAGTCACAAGAAGTCGCCTACCACATGCTAAATGCTACCAACATTATATTTAATATTTTTTGCCATATTTTTGGATGTAAATGAGGAGTCTTCTTCTGAAAATTTTCCCTTCTTCATCACTTATTGCTAAAATAAATCTTTTTGTAGATCCACTGCAACAAAAATGCTTCGGTTGGGGAAAGTGTTTCAACATAATTGAGGGATTAGCTAGAGGATTACTATATCTTCATAGAGATTCAAGATTAAGAATTATACATAAAGATTTAAAGGCAAGTAACATATTGTTAGATGAAGAGATGAATATAAAAATATCATATTTTAGAATGGCTAAACTTTTCAAAGGTGGTCAAGACCAAGCAAATACAGAAAGCATTCCCTTTATCCTAGATAAGAATATTGATAGCATATTAAGAGCTCAAAAATGTGTTTAAATGCAGCGGCTACATTTTGTCCTGAATATGCAACAGAAGGACTCTATTCAAAGAAATTAGATGTTTTTAGTTTTGGCATTTTATTACTAGAGATTATTAGTGGAAGAAAAAAATACTAGCTTTTACAAAGATACCGAATCTTTTACACTTCTAGGTTTTGTAAGTCTCTTTAATTTATCTTCCTTTCTTGCAAAGGGTCTTAACTGCCTTTGCCTTTGTCTTGATGAATACAATGTTGGAATTTGACTACTGTAATTGTTTTTTTCTTGTAAATTTTTCTAGGCATGGAAATTATGGATGGATGGCAATATTATACCTCTAATAGATCCACAAATATGTGAAGCAAGCTTTTACAAGGATTTGTTGAGGTGCATACATATAGGTCTTTTATGTGTGCAAGAACTTGCAAAAGATAGGCCCCCTATGTCCTCTGTAATGGCAATGCTATAAAGTGAGATTATGGATATTTCTCCACCAAGCAAACTTGCATCCATGATTAGGCAAACTATGTCTTGTACTGTATGGCCAACTCCAAATAATGATGAGTTGTGGTCCATCAATAATGTAACTCTCTCAAATTTTAAGGGGAGATAGTGGGGTACAAATTGATTTTTGTTCATTTGGGGATGTAAAATACAATAAATTATTCATCTTCAAGATATTCAATAGGGCAGCTAACAACATTGTTTCTAGTTACAATTTTTATTTTATTTTGTTAGGCCTAAACATTTAATTTGTTTTTTTGTTTGTAATTAATATGTTGTCATTATGTATCATTTGAAAGATGTAAAATGCATTCTTCATTGATATTGATATACACATACTTTGATGATGTTCAATAGGGTAGCTGCAAACCTTGTTTCTAGCTACAAAAAAATTATTTTGTTAGCCCCAATTGTTTAAAATGTTTTTACGGTATATAATGAATACCTGGAGTTATGGTCCCTCCTAAAAATGAAAAATTTGACTTATTGGTTTGATCCGCTGACCATTTATTTTCATGTACTATTAGATCCTCTCTAAATATGACCACGCTAACAAAGTTCTCAGCTTCTCTCCTCTGTTCTTCCCCTCCTCTACCCCTCTTCTACTCCCCTCATCACCATTGGATCAACACTCAATGGTCCAAATTTAATATTTAAAAAACATGATTATTTTTGGACAAAAAATATTATAATTTCATTTCAAAAATACATAAATAAATCTGAACTGCTAAAATATGATCTGAACATTGCTAAGAAAATAATCTATTTTGTTATAATAATTTATAGTTGTAAATCTTCATATCAAATTTTAGCAATTTAAATTTATTTGTGTCTTTTAAGTAAAATTATAATTTTTGGTAAATAATAATAATATTTAAAAAATATTAAATATGGACAATTAAGATTTGATCCAATGGTGATGAAGAGGATATAGGAAGGGAAGGATAGACAAGAGAAGCTGTTCTCGCTAATTAAACACGGTCTTCATATTTTCACTGCTTGTGTTGCAGCATTAGAGTAGTAAAAGTGTGTAGTATTGGTTGATATGGTTGAGAAAATTACACACAGGTTCCAAGCGACACAATTTAGTAATCCAAAATCTCTTCAAATCCTCAAATTATTCTTGAGTTCCTAGGAACCTGAGAACAAAATAGTATAATTATGAAAAGATGATTTTGCCCTTATTAATTGAAAAGGAAAAAGAAAAGGAAAGAGGGTTCAATTCTCTCTTATTTTGTTGCTACATGAGGAAGAGAAGCTTGGTAAAGGAGGAAAGAAAATTTGCAACCATCTCTATTATTCCAGGCAATTTTTTTTTTTGCTTTATCTTCTTTGTAGATCTTATCATTAACAACATTTATCTTTTTTTTCCCCACAATCTTTGAAAGATTAATCTTGGTTTGGAAGTTAATTGGGTGTGGATGTGTGGGTATTGAGGAGATGATTCAGCTCATGTGGAGTGACCCATTTTAATCATATGTGGTCTTAATCATTTTAAGTGTGGTCTCATGATTTGCGGGTAGGGTTATGAATTTATTCTTTGTTTTTTAGTATATGATCCTTTGTTTCTGGTGAAAACGAATGAATATGATAGGCATGTGAAAAGAAAAATGGTGTTGATAGATGTATCAAAGGTTGTCAATATAACTAATTTAGTTGTCAATAATAAGTGCATATTATAGGTTGATATGAAAGATGTCAACTTCAAGTGGAAAGTAGCTATTCTATTTCCTTCATAGAAGGGGACAAAATATTAATAATATAGAAGGTAAAATACAATATGCTGGGGTCTTGTCTCTATGCTTTCTCGATCTGTAATTTTATCAAAATATCTACCTGCTGTGTTCCAACTTCTTTGGTTATTAACTGCATTTAGTAGATAGGACCCTAATCTCTTACATCTTCTAATAATTCATGTTTCTTGACCATTAGTGACGCCACTTGCACAACATTTTTACTTAGCACATCAGTCACACCATTGGCTTTACCTGAATGATACTTGATTTGATAATCATAATCCTTAAGTAAGTCCATCTATCTCCTTCGTGTCATATTCAATTCTTTCTGATCTTGGAGGTATTTGACACTTTTATGATCACAATATAGTTCAATGGTTACCTCGTATAAGTAATGCCTTCATATCTTCAAGGCATATACTATTGTTGCCAATTTCAAATCATGTGTGGGATAATTTTTTCATGTGACTTGAGCTGTCATAAGGCATAGGTGACCACTCAACCTTGCTGCATTAGTACACATCTCAATCCCTGCTTGCTAGCAACAGTGTATAGGATGTAAGTCTGTGTAGGATCTGGGATAATCAGCATAGGAGTTGAAGTCAACCTCCTTTTTACTTCCTAGAAGCTAGCTTCATGTTTCTCATCCCACATAAAAGGTTGATTCTATCTAGTAAGTCTGGTTAGTGGTTGGGCAATCTAGAAAAAGTCTCAAACAAACCTCCGGTGATAACCTGCTAATCTTAGAAAATCTTTAATTTTCGTAACTGTCTTAGGCTATTCCCATTGCAATATATAGCTTCTATTTTACTAGGATTGATGGCTACTCCATCTCGTGAGATTACATGGCCTAAAAATTTTACTTGATTTAAGCAAAACTCACATTTACTGAGTTTAACAAACATTAATGCTTCTCTTTCTGGGTACTTAGAATAATTCTCAGATGCTGCTTATGTTCCTCAGAAGTTTTGGAGTAAACCATGATATTGTCAATAAAGAATACAACAAAATAGTCTAGATATAATCAAAAAATCTGATTTATTTAGTCTATGAAAATAGCAAGTGTATTAGTCAAACCAGAGGATATCACTAAAAATTCATAATGTTCGTATCAGGTCCTAAAAGCGATCTTTGATCGTCTACCTTAATTCTAAGCAGGTTATATCCAGATCTTATATCGATCTTGGAAAATATGGTTGCGCCAGCTAGCTGCTCTAACAGATCATCAATCCATGGAAGCAGATACTTATTCTTGATCGTTCTTCTTCAGTGCAACAACCAAAAAGTCTAACAAGGTTTTAGTGTTGAAGCTTGGAAATCAATTCCACTTCATTTATAAATTCTTCCATGCCCTATCCAAATGACCTAGACAGTCTCTTAATTGCTATTTCATGTCAATCTTTCAATTTTCCCTAAAATAAGATGATAAAATACATTAGTTTCTCATGAAATGGAAGATGATGAAGTTTTTTTTTTAAAAAAAAAAAAATGGAAGTCACCCTGTAAACTCGACCAAAGCCACCCTGCCCAAGTTTATTTGCTATGTTAAAGTTGTTGGTTGTAGTTGCCAACTCTTTCAAATCAAATTGCCAACTCTTTCAAATCAAATAATAATAGCTCTAAAATATGGACTTGCTTCAGCGACATAACCCTTATTTGGTCTTGAGTCTGCATTTGCATTACCCTTATGTTTTTTTTTTGTGTGCAGATTTTCCCATTTTATTTCCTTGAAAAACATTTATTGCTATTCTAATACTGTTCATTGATATGTAATAAGTTAGCTATATGAAATTCTCATATATTCTGTATCAAAGTGATGAAAGTCAACTATTCGATTGAGAGTTATCTAAGATGACAAAGTTATGATTTTGTAACCTATATAAACGATTAAAACAAAATCACTGAAAAAGCATGTCGTAATGCCCATCAAAATTCTAAGCTAAAATGCAGCAATGTAGGAACTAGCCTAGGTCATGTCTCAAGGAGCCTTTCTAATGCTAAATTCCCTAACAGGTCCAATGAACCACAAGTTAACAATTTAAAAATTGTAAAGAATGTCAAAAGAAAAGGATTGTTTCTGCAAATTTCTGACTTTAACTGAACTAAAAGAAAGGTGTTGGAACTTCAGTTATATATTCAGAAAAACAGTTGTCAATTGAAGAAGAGATCAAACACTACGATAACACTTGAGCAAAAACAATGGTGAGAATGTTCCCTTAGAGATAATCTGTACCTTCCTCGCCTAATTGATAGCAGGAGTTGAAAACGGAATAAAAGATTGACTCACAACTCGCAAGCTTGCTAACTGTGAACACTCAACTCGAAGGAATCACAGCAAGTAACAGATAATTCGGCCTAGGAATAATAATCAGCAAATCAATTCCTGCACCAATGACCGACTCGGTTCATTTCGAAACTAACTGAATTCATTCAAGAACAATAAAGCAACTCGAAAAATGTTCAGATGCAAATCAGTTTATACAGAGGAAGTAAACATCAACTGGAGCCTACGAATGATTCATCAATCATTATTCCTATCAATCTCAACGACTCAGATAGTATCAATCATCACAATTTTGAATTCTAGCATTTAGTCTTACAACTCATCCAACAAAATAGAAGAACTCAGCTCAAGTCTATATGAGAAGGAGAAACTCCCCGTCCTCAAAGATCCAAGGCTCCGGTGCATTCACATCTCTAAAGAGAACC